CGATCTGAAAGCCCGGTGGGTCACACAAAGGAGCCCCTTCCAGAACCCGGCTCTGCCCTCCTCCACTGTGCCTTCCCCAAAGCCAGTGCAGGACCCCTTCGCCTGCCTGGAAGTTCAGGGGAGACACCAGTGAGAATGGCCAGTGACCTGGGCTAAGTCACCAATCCCAGCAGGTGTCATTTGAAAAAAAAAAAACAAAAAAAACAAAAAGCCTTTTTTCCCAGGAAAACAGGATGTCTGAGAAGAGACGTAATGGGTTTGGCTGCATTTAATGTGGGATTTAGTACTAATTTGTTTTTGTCTGGGGTGATCATTTAATCTTGATTTGATCAAAGTGGCTGTCAGTAATTAAATACAAGTCACATTGCGTCCCTCCTGTCGCCTCCTGACTACATGCCCTGATCGAGGTGCCGCGGAGCTGCTAGGAGCTTGAGACGTCGAGCAGTGGCGTCGGCATGGGGTGGGAGGGAGCGCCCCCGAAGCCTGCCCCGAAGCCTGCCCTCATATGCCTGCTGGCAGATGAAAGCAGCAGGAGCTGACCTGAGGACACACTGACCCAAGGAGATCCAGGAAACTTTCAAAACAGTCTCTTGTTTGCTTCCCCTGTCCTCGGTGCCCTTCACTCTGCAGGTGAGGCCTCTGATCATAAAAGCAACCACTCCTTCCCTTTATGGCCCAGCAGGTGGTAACGCACTGTGCCCTGTGTGCACTGGGAGCGGTCTTCTCACACCCCGCACCAGCCTCCTAAACCATGATGTCACCTGGTTGCTTATCAGATTTCAATCAAACAGCTCCCAGCACGGGTCAGAGCAACCGTCTCCTTCTTGAGCTCAAACTCCACTCCAGCCCAGCCCAGGACAGTCCCGGAGGAACCTGGGTGATTCAACCAAGACTGACCAAAAGTCATTCTGAGAGTTAGGTCATGCACCAAGGCTGGAAGCCGCCCAAGTTCATTGGATTTGGTTGTAGCGGCCTGAACACATGGAGACAAGTTGTTCCCGTTCCCGCTGGGGGCTGGCTGACGAGCGACCATTGGGGCTGGTGAATGGCTTCATCCAGAAGTTCTCACGGCCACGCTCAGCCCCGCACGTCCTCGCAGGGCACGGGCATGGGAGGGCCGACAAGCCTGAGGAGTCCTGATGTGTCTCTTCAGAGTCCCCAGTTGCAGCAGCAGATCCCTGAGGGGGCTGCGTGAACTCTCGTGACACCACGGAGAGAAGAATGGCACGTGGGTTCCTGTGCTCTCCCGGGGAAGGCGCTACAGCACGCAGTGCGTCTGGTGGGTGTCCTCATGAACGACTGGGGTAGATTGGGGTCTTCACTCATACTTAATAATTCATCGTTAATAATACTTAATAATTCTGTAGGGCCAACACTGTCCCTGCCAACATTCCAGCGTCCTCAGTCCCTCTCACCTCCAGCCCAGGGAGGACTAGACTCGGTTCAAACTTGGTTCTCAACGCTCCACGGGTGTGATCCTCCAAGAGTGTTCCAGGATCCACGGGGCGGGGGAAGGGTGACCCCAGTACCCTTCCAGAGGGCCTGGGAGGTCAAAACGAGTCTCCTAATAATACCAAGACGTTATTTGCCTTTCTTACTCTGTTGACCTCTTGCACCAAGGCCAAAGCAATGGCGTATAAAATCACAGCCCCTTAGCCGGAGTCGAGGCCCCTGTACTCACAACCATTATATTCTAAGCTGCCCCAGAGTCTCAATTGGAAAAAAAAAAAAAAAAAAAAAAAGCTTGTTTCACTTAAGAATGTTCTAGAAGTATTGAAATAATTTTATTAAATTTCCACCCTTGCATGTGCATCCTTAATACGCTACCGAACATGCAGAGACCATAGGAAAAGCACTGTGGGCATCCGTGAGAGTCGGGTGAGTGAATCAATACCGTCCAGATGACCGATGTGCAGCACCACAAAATCCCAAAGCACGCGAGTGACCGGTGGATTTTAGTGACAGTGCGAGAAGGTTCATTGACATGAGTTCAGATTCCACTAACCTTGGAGAAACCACCCCTGCCCAGTGTTGATACAGTATCGAAGAACAACATCCAGAGACCTGAGTCATTTACGTGATCTCTCCTTTTCGCGGGCGTACCTGTGCGAAGCCGGGTCATTCATACCTCACGGCAAATCATCTGCTCACCGTTCATTGCAGCAGCGGCGGACCTGCTCCGGCAAACCCGGACTTAGGAGAGACATGCAAAATTGTTTTTGTTTTTTTTTTTTTTTAAGATTTTATTTATTTATTTGTCACAGAGAGAGCACAAGCAGGCAGTGTGGCAGGGAGAGGCAGAGAGAGAAGCAGGCTCCCCACTGGACAAGGAGCACGATGTGGGACTCGATCCCAGGACCCCGGGATCATGACTTCAGCTGAAGGCAGCGGCCTAACTGACTGAGCCACCCAGGCATCCCGCAAAATTGTTTTTATTAGGTGCCACTCGTCTCCTTTTTTTGTTTTAGAAATAGAACTATTTTTCATAAAACAATATTATCTTTGCAAGAGTTTTTGATTTCTGTTTTTCTCAAGTTGCACACCAGTATAGAAAAATATATTTCAATATTTAACGTTTTTCCAGGTGTGATTTCGAATCCAGTAAATATTGATACAGCCCACATGAACAAAAAGCTCTTTGGGGTCCTCAATCACTTTAAGCGTTTAGATGGGTCTGAAGATCAATACTGTATGCTTGGGGAAGGCTGCAGGGAGAGAGCAGCAGAACCCCAGGAACTAAGCACTGGTTTCCTAACGAGCGAGACGCCCCTGTGTAGCCCATCCCAGCACTCTCCTTTGTGAGTCATGAGTCACTCTGTTTAAAATCCTTACTGAGCTCTTTCTCCGTGTGCTTTTTTGAAGAACATGCTTAGGGCGAGGGCTGGATGTTGGAACCATGACGCCATAATCCAGAAACCTGCAGACACCCGCCGGCCACGTACCCCCTTGCGGGTGCAGTAGGCAGGAAGCAAGACCAGACCGTATGCGTCCATCAGGGGGACCAATCACAGGCACGTGCCCTCCGGTGACGCTAGCCCCTGGTTCTGCAGGATGGCGTGTCACTTCCACGGCGCCTGCTGCCCTTGTATGATCTCATACGTACATCCCTATGGGGGTGAGGTTTTGGCTTATGAATTTGGGGGAACACATTCAGATATTAGCATCTAGTTCGTCCATTCTTTCCTTCATGGATCATGCCCTGATGTCCTATCTAAATCCACCCCAGACCCTGGACAAGCTGGTGTCATTGCCAATCCCAAGGTCATTCAGACTCTCTATGTCATCATCTGTGAGTTTTATGGTTTTATATTTTACATTTTGTCTGCAATCCATTTTGAGTTACTTTTTGGGGAAGGATATAAGGTCCGTGTCTAGATTCACTGTTTGCACATGGATGTCCTGTTCTTCCAGCATCGTTTGTTAAAAAGATTATCTCTTCTCCCTCTTGTTCCTCTGTCAAAGATCAGTAAACTGTATCATGTGGGTGTACTTCTGGGCCTTCTATGCTTCTGTTCCATCGATCCCAAAAATGGATCTTGGGCAACCGCGCCATCTTGATTACTGTGGGCTTACAGCGAGTCTCAAAGTCCAGCTTTGTCCTTTTCTGCAGTATCATAGTGGTTCTCTGGGGTCTCAGTTTGAATTTTCGTGGATTCCCACAGGCAGAGGGACCCTTTCTCACTCAGTGGGTGGTCAAGTTCCCAGACTTCCCAGGAGCTGGGAGCAGGAGACTGTGCTCAGGGATTATCTACCCCCTCCCCTTCTTAGGAGTATCTCCTCTTAAAAACACCCCTTTCTTCTGCTACCCCAAAACGAGGGATCCAGACTTTCAGACATGACTTTACATATCTTCCTATCAATCAGAGAGAGAAACGCAAATCCCTACCACCTCTTCCCAGGCCTGCGTGTGTGCCCTTCCTCATATCCTTGTGTCCCCCCCATCCACCAGGCTGCAGCCACGCTGACCACCCCACTGCCAAGCCCTCTCCCACCCACGGGCTTTGAGCCTGCTCCGCTTCCCTGCCTGGACAGCACCCTCACATTCCGCCTCGAGGAAGCCTTCCCTGACCGTCGCTGCGGAAGCGACCTGCCCATGTTCTCCCCACAAGCACCCTTTCAATGTCCTTCATGGCATTTGTCACAATATCCAAGTATCGCACCTGTTCATTTGCTCACTAGCTAGCTGGCTCACAGAGGGAAAAGAAATTTCTGGAGGACTGGGAGCTGCCTGTCTCATTTGTGGCTCTGGTCCCAGCTTCTAGAACAGTCCATGCACAGAATAGGCCCTCAGTCCATACATAGGAATGAAGGAGTTGGGGGAAATCCGCCTCCAGTCATGTTTCTTCTGAAGATAAGAAGACAGTCTGCTTCCTCTTGAAGAAGAGAACATTGTTCCTTCTCTGAAAACCCTTTTGGGAACCTGGAGGCTTTCAGGCTTTGGAGAGCAAAGACAGGGGGAGGAAGTTCCCTTCAGACAAAGGCAACTTCTGCCTTTCATCCCTCCCAGAACTGCCACAGAAGGGAGGCTGGCTGTTCTCTGAGCTGAAGGGTCTGAAGACAGGACAGGGGTGATTCCAGAAGGAACAGCCCAAACCAGTCTCTGGCGGGCTGGGCAGGCTGCCCTCCCTGTGGGTGTCCTGCGGGGGTTCCTGCCGGCTCCCAGTGCGGTGGGCAGGGAGCCGTACACACACACACACACACACACACACACACACGTGCATGCATGCACACGCACACACAAGCACACACACACACTGGTGCTGGCGTCCGCTCAACCCTCGGCCAGCCTGGTTCCTGGTGCCGGACTCCTGTTCCAACAGCACCCGGCCTGGGGCAACCACGGGGCGGGGAGTCCGCATGTGAGTGAGAGCCCGGCTCCTTCTTAAGCGCCCGCCAGTCAAGCCCGGGCCAGACGGCCAGCCAGCCGGCGCCCCACACTCCGCCACCTGTCTTGCGGCTCCACCGGCCACCACCGCCACAGCCACCGCCACCGGAGCAGCCACCACCCAGCCTCCATGGCCGACCAGCTAAGCGAGGAACAGGTGGCTGAGTTCAAGGAGGCCTTCTGCCTGTTTGACAAGGACGGGGACGGCGTCATCACCACCCAGGAGCTGGGCACCGTCATGCGCTCCCTAGGCCAGAACCCCACGGAGGCCGAGCTGCGGGACATGGTAAGCGAGATCGACCGCGACGGCAACGGCACCGTGGACTTCCCCGAGTTCCTGGGCATGATGGCCAGGCAGCTGAAGGGCAGGGACAGTGAGGACCAGATCCGCGAGGCCTTCCGCGTCTTCGATAAGGACGGCAACGGCCTGGTGAGCGCCGCTGAGCTGCGGCACGTGATGACCAGGCTGGGGGAGAAGCTGAGCGACGAGGAGGTGGACGAGATGATCCGGGCTGCGGACGTGGACGGGGACGGGCAGGTGAACTACGAGGAGTTCGTCCACATGCTGGTCTCCAAGTGAGGAGCCCGGCCTGGCACTGTGGCCCCCACACCTGGCTGCAGGGCTTTGCTGCGTTAACCCGGGGCCGGCCGTGCTCCCCGCATCCCTCCGGCCCCTCTGGGCTCCGCAGCTTCTCCGTTCCAGGTGATTCCGCCCATCTTTGTGCACCTCCCTTTGTTGCCTTTTTCCTGCCACCCCTCCCCCCCTTCCCAGCCGGGCCACGCCTCCCCCAAGCCCAACAGACACCAGGTGCTTCTGCCACTCCGGAGCAGCAGCAGCATCACTCTGCCTGGACAGTGAACAGAGGACCAGTGCAGTCCCACCGGCCAGCCACCTGGGGAGGTGCAGGGTGACATCATAGAGCCCTGGGCTGGACCCCTGTAGGGCACTCAGCACTGGGGCCGGGTCCCTAGCCCCCAGAGCTGGGGGAGGGGTTCCGGAGCCTCCGTGGCCTGAGGGCTCCATGTGCCGCTGGACTGGGGCGGGTGGGAGGGACCTGGCCTGGGCGAGGGGGGCTGCTGGAGGTGTCGGCACTTGAGATCAGGTTTCCCGAGAAAGAGCACCCCCTTTCCGCTAGTGCTCGCTTGTCTGATTCATCCTTTGCCGCTTGGAATAAATCTGGTGTCAGTTGTAACACGTTTGCGTTCAGCTTCATGGAAGGAAATTGGAGCGGGAGGGAGAGGGAAGTGTGGGGGAGTAATAAAATGCTCGCGTCCCCGTCATGGCTCCTTCTGTTCCGCTTCCCCCTGTAATGAGCCTCTCTCCATCCGGGGTCTAGACGGGGCAGGACCTGCATTGTCGTGGTTTCTGAAAAGGCCATGAAACCTTGCGTTGGAGAACATAGTGAAAGAGTAAAGCCTACAGAAGGCAAATCTTCAATGCTTATTTCAAATAAAATGGGGAAGTCAGTAGAGCCCCTGGAGCCCTGAGCGGATTACAGGTGAGAAGGCACCGGCCGCGCGTTTCCATCCCCGGTGGTCGGACAGCCGGGGTTTCCGGCCTGGGGACAGTCGCCGGCTGACCGCCAGCAGCACGTCTGCGGGAAGCGAGCGGCCCCTCCCGCAGGCTCCCCCGGGTGCCGGGCACGGGTGGCGAGCCCTCTGCGTGCACAGTAGCTCACTGCCACCCCGAGCAGTGGGTGCTGCAGTCGCTTCCCTGTCTCACAAATGAGGACGACGAGACACGCCGAGCTTTAGAAATCAGCGCAAGGCCCCCAGCTGCAGAGTTCCAGGGCTGGGATTGCGCCTTTGCCCGCACCGTGTGGCCTCTCCGCAGCCCATTCGCCTCCACGGGAACTGAGGACTAGAACACTGCCTCTCGCGCAGCATTTGCGAGAAGGTTAGAAACCATCTCAACGTGCCGGGCATGCAGTAGGTGCTTAATAAGTGACAACTACTCTTGCAATCGCTTTTAGGAATCCCCTCCAGCTCTAACACTCTGAGGCCTGGCAATGGACTTGCACCCTTCAGTCCCAGGGGACAAGTGCTGAGGGGAGGCCCGGGCGGGATCTGGGACAGGAAGCCCCCCAGGGCCCTGCAGCTGCAGAGCCCCTCCGGGCACAGGAGCTCGGAAGCAGACCTCGCTGCTCTGACCCCAGGCCCTTGCCCGCTGAGCCTGTTTGAGCCAAGGATTGGCTGAAGACCTCCAGGTGTTCAGTCAGCAGCCAGCCCCTCTGTGTGCGAGGGACGGCCCGGAAGAGCGTCCAGATGTCGTGGACGCTGCTCCCTCGCAAGCCTTGCACAGAAGAGCCAAGCCAGTCGTCCCCTCAGAGGTTCCAACATGCATGACGGTCCCACCTGCCAAAGGAAACCCTGACGTCACCCCCAGGGACAAAAGGATTCCATCTCAGTGTTTTGGTGGGACCAAGGCTTCAGGAAGCCAAGAACCAGGTAAGGAAGGGCTGGGTTCCCAGGTTCCCTCCTCCCCTGCTGGGGAGTGGGTGTTTAACCCCTGCTTTCCCAGCGTCAGCCTCGCAAGGCCCTTGCAAGTACGGCCCGATTTGCCTGCGGACACTCAGCCAGAAGGGGAAGAGGCGTCTTCTTGTACCATCCACCCAGCCGCGGGGTCGTTTCACTGAGGCAGGTCTCCTAATCCTTGTGGGCAGCCTGCGGGACCCATCCTGCCCTGTAACAGGCTTCCGAGCCTTTCCTGGAGAGTCCTTTGTCCAGGGCAGGAGCCCGGCGCTGTTAAAATCCCTGCCGAGCCCCTTGCCTCCGTGTTCCCGCAGCCGGGCTGTGGACGAGGGGCCGCAGTGACAAGCTCCCCGCGGCCCCCAGAGACAGCGCAGCCCCTCAGACCGCAGCCTCCTGTCTCCACCGCTTGTGTCTGGTGCTGAGCAGCAGGTAGGAAACATGTCCCTGGGAGCTCTCGCGACAGACCCCGATGAAGGGGCTTCTCTCCTGCTCGCAGGTGGGAAACCTGAGGTGCCAAGGGCAAGGTGGGTGGCCCCACAGAGCTGACTGTGCTCCCTCCCCCACCCCACCCCTTGGTTTTACTTTCCTGAACACAATTTTAAAAAAAACATTTGCCGTCGTCCCTTCTCATCCAAGCAAGGTCATCGGCCAGCTTGGCCACGTGGCCCAGCCCTTTGTCCCCCTGCGGACTTAGGGACAGGGACGCCAGGTCTGACAGGGACGCCACTGGGCAGGTGCTCTCAGATTCGGTGAAGGTGCCTGCCTTGGCGGGTGGGTCCAGACCTCACAGTGGGTGTGTGACCCTCTCGCCATGCCTGGCACACACACAGGTCCATGTGTCGGGTCACACGTCAGCCTCAGGCCCCTTGGGACACCTGTGTCTGTCTGCATCTTTCCCGTTCTTCCTCCACGCGGCCAAGACCTGTCTCGTCCCCTGACACCAAGGTAGATGTTTGTAGGATGTGGTCACCACAACTGGCAGGTGTAGGTCCCTGGCCTTGCGGAGTAGCGCAGGGGGGAGCCGGGGGCTGGAGCACCAGGGAGGAGCCCCAGAAAGTTCCCTGACTGGAGTAGGTCCCTGAGAGTGTAAGGAGGCCTGCAGGTCCGCTTCCTTCCCCGGGTCTCTGGGGAGCAGACATCCCAGCGGCTCCCCACCCACATTCTGTCATTGAATAATTGGACTTAACCTCCCTTTAGCCCCCAAAAAGGTGCTGTCTGACTGCGGCTCAGAAGAACATTCCACCCCGCCCCTGGGGAAGGAATTTATAAATATTACCACAGGCTTTCACCAAGCCACTCATAAATCAGGGCTCGGGGCTCCTGGACCTCCCCAGCTAGCCGCGCTCCTCTGCCTCTTATGTTTCCAATTTTAAGTCAAACCCAGCCCAGCCCAGCCCTGCCAGCTCCCGCTGACCCTCACAGATTCCAGGGACCTGTTCAAAGGCTCCCCGAAGCAGGCAGCTAACAATGGTTCTGTTGTTCTCATTGGAGAAATTTAAAATTAAAACTCATGCATGAGGTAGAGACTGCCCCAGGGTGAACGGAAGCGATGGGTCTGCCGGGTTTGTTTGCACAAGCCGACAAACACAGGAGCTCTCAGAAAGCTCTGGGCCCAGCCCACCTGCAGACCTCCCACCATCCTGCTGTAGTCAGACCGGAGCCTGGTCCCACCCAGAGCGGGCAAGGGAGCTGGGCTGGGAGCAGGTAGAGCTGTTCCCTGGCCCTCCTGCCAGGTGCTGGGTGCTGGGGATGCGGTGGGGGGGGGGGGGTGCCTGGGCGGCGGGGGGATGGGGGGGGTTGTCTGGGGGATGCGGGATGCAGGCTGTCTTGGCTCAGATCCTGGTGCTGCCCCGCAGGGCTGGGGAAACAGCATCGATGGAAAAGCGGCCGTGGAAACAGCCCACGCGAGCCCACCAGCCATGCGTGAAGCTCCCCCTCCCTTCTTCCCCACCGAGCTGGTCTCATCTCTTGGCCTGCCGTGGCGTGTCTAGCAGACTCTGGTTTGGAGAGCTTCCCCGTGATAGAAGGACGGCGCTCCCCAAGGGCGTGCTTGCACACACCCCCACTCCAGGGACCAGGACCCTGTGAGAGGCCCACCCCACGCTGCACTAGCTCATTTCAACCTCAGAACCTGTGGGTGTGGCAGCTATATCTATTAGCCCGTTTTAAAGAAGGGAAGACTGAGACCTCAAGAGTTTAAATAACTTCCCCCAAAGTCACACAGTCCAGTAAATTAGATTTTGAATCTGGGTCTGACTGGCTCTGAGGCTCCATGCCTCCCACCACAGACAAGGACCTTCTCCGAGCAAGCAGCCTGAGACTGAAGGTCAGCAGGTCTTCCAGAAGTCACGGGAGCTGTGGCCGAGCTACAGATGGCCTGCCAGCAGAGAGACAGGGACAGGAAAGGCCTGGCAGTGGTGCTGTGCTGGGCAGAATTTGGGCAGACGGGACCTAGAGAGAAGAAAGACCTCAAATGGTGTGGAGGGGCACGGGAGCCATGGAAGCCCCTAGGGCAGACATTAGGGGGTGCTGTCGAAACGGCCCACAACCCAGGGCCCCCCTCGCCCTGGTGCTGGCTGTGAGCACACCCTAGGAAGTAGAGGTGGCCACCACCAGCAGGAGAGAACTCAGCCCTGGTCACATCTTTGGGATGGTAGATGCTCCTGTGCAGTTGTCTCTCCGGCCAAAGCTGGGCCTAAGCCTGGGTCATTGGTATGGAGTGGCTGGAGCGGCTGGGCCATGTCTGGGCCTCTCAGCGTCTTTGTGGAAGAAGGGCTCGGCCTCCCATCCAGACTCACAGTGTGGGGTGCTGTGATGGGCAATCAGAAAAGACACGTGTCTTCCATTAGAGGTTGAATTCTTTCTCCCCAAAATTCACATGTTGAAGTCTTGACCCCCCAGAACCTCAGAATGTAACCTATTTCGGAGATAGGGTCTCTGTTGAGACCGTCAAGTTAAGACGAGGCCATTAGGGTGGGCCCCGATCCAGTATTATTGATGTCCTCATAAGAAGGGGGCATTTGCCGACAGAGGGACGACCCTGTGCAGACAAGGAGAAGACGAGTCTGTGCACAGGAGAGCGGCTTCAGGAGAAGCCAGGCCTGCCGACAGCTGGACCTCCGACTTCTGGCCTCCAGATGAGAGACATAAACGCCTACTGCTTAAAGCACCCACCTGCGGCCGTCTGTGACAGAGCTCCTGGCAAATATGTCCCCAAAGGGAAGTCGGAGGGAAAAACAGACTGCTTTCTTACCCTGGTCTCAGGAGGGCTGATGGGACCTCGGCCAGAGCTGGCTTTCTGCTGGGCTCTGG